CGCATTCACACTGGTATTCGAGTAATGATCAAACTTATACAAAATTATGAAAATTGCATGGTCTTTGGCAACTACTGTAGTAGACTGTTACCGGCGCCAGATTTGGCCAAACTTTTATTTAACAGGATCAATAAGAGATAGTGCCTATTCGCTTTTCGAATATGGGAAAAGTTCAATTTAGGGGGTCAAACGGCGCGCAAAACCTCCATCCTTCTGCTATACGCGACGAAGAGCAATAAGGGTTAAATGGGTCGAGCATATCAGGAGAAAGAAAAAGTAGTTAAATCTAGACCGTTTGAACGTAGAACTTAATAGGAATAGGTATTTAAACAACCAAATGACCGATTATTTGAGCGCGATAATTAAAATGGCCCAATAGTGCCCAACTAGACACCATCGCCAACTCTATTTCAACTCTATCTCATATTGGGAGTTATATAGAGATTATGTAGAGTTGATATAGAGATAGCTTCTAAGCCACGGTCATCGACTATATCAACTCTATATAATCTCCATATTGTCGCTTTGTCAACGGAAAATAACGTCTATATAGAGTTGATAGAAAATCGACAACTGTGTCCAATTGGGCAGTTTTGGACCAGTTTTACTATCGCGCGCAAATAATCAGTTACTTAAATAAACTGTTTGGGACCCTAAATTAAACTTTCCCCTGGAAGGCTCTATCAAGTACTGCCGTTGACGAAGTACTATGAGGAACGCTGACTGCTTTTAATTGACGTTGACCTTGCCCGTGGTAACAGGAGTTATTCAGGATGAAAAACATTTTATTTTGATGGTCCGAGCCAGTGAAAGTGTTACTGACCTGATCGGCCTTAAAAGCTCGATACCTGCAGTATACCATCGTGAGGCAGTGATATTGTGAGGTTCTGGAGAAAGTTTAATTCTCGCAAGATATTGGGTTTTGCGTTTTTATCGGAAAAACCGAATAATTAATCACGCGTCCTGAAAATCATGACAATTTTTGATTCGATACAAAGGTGGACGTTTGGTATCCCAATAAAACAAGTGCAGTACGCAGTCGGCTCAGAGAATGAAATAGTATCTGAGGCGTGGCCAAACTGATCAAGTGCCCCGAATGTTTCTGGTTCTTGACTTTAACCCAATGTGGCCTATGCTCAAACTCTTATCCAAGCTGATATATTGCAACAGATAAACTCAACGATTAAGGGAGGCTAATCAATAAGCATGGACTATTCTAAACGAACTAGCGATGTAACTTTTTATATTAACCATGAATAAAGGCTTTGCTTAAGTTCTGGCACACAAATTAGATTAAATATCCTTCTAGACTCAAACAGTCACACTACAGTATGAGTGGCTTTTAAATTGTGGCACACTTATTTCTTGACCATACTTATCGCTTTAAATTATCTAATATCACTTTGTGATATTCAGTAGATTCCCTAGCTCATGAAAGGTCAGCCGAAGTACGGAACGGTCCTTTTGATTCGAACAACTTACTCAAGTAGGTTTTTAATACTGAATATCGTACGGCCTAATCTCAAGGCATTTCAGTCCCGTCAGGATGCCGCTAGCCTAACTGCTGACTACACGGTGCGTTCATAGACAGAGGATAGTGGAATGGCCTTCAGGGAATATTAGCTGCGAAATAGAAAGACTCTCAGGTCTTGCGAATAAGCAGTCGCAAACTAGCAACAACAGTGCTACTAGGCTGCGGCGGACTGAGGTCTGGCACGCCAAAAACATATAAAATATCGCAGAGTCTGTCTATGCTAAAGATAAAACAAATGCACTAGGATTTTCTAGATTCTGAAAACCACTATCCCATGTAAACGCTGGTAAATGTCAATACTTTCATTAATAACACCAGTAGCAGTCGCTAACTCCCTCGTTTTCTCTTTCAATCCCTGTTGCTTCTGGTTACTGCCTGCCAGCTTTACATTGATAGTTATCCGTAGAAGGTACGGAATAAAACTTAGTTATTAGGTTCATCTTCAAGTTTAAATGAGGTTTGGCTTCCCATTCTCAAAGTGGTTAAACAACTATCTCAAAATTGGCCTATTTCAATCGGTATTATTATCGTTCTCTTTCTCCTCACTAGCACCATAATTGCCGTCGTCATGATAGAACTCGAAGCAGGATTATAATTTCTAAATTTTTTACTGCCATTCAGATATATACATGTTGAGATCATACTCACTAGCTGACCACCTTCAAATATAGTTTATGCATTGGCTGCAATGGAAAAACTGCTGCAGCTCACAAACGAAGTGGAGCCTCGTGCAAATACAATGAGATGTTCAACCTAAAAAGCTTAAGCTACTTGAAAACTGGGAAGAAGCGAGTTGACTGGCGAAAATGACTGTGGGAAAGACAATCCTCCTAAGGACGTTTAATAGAAAAGCATAATGAATATTGAAGTGCATAGATAATAAAAAAATAACTTCCTTTAATATGCCTTGCATAATCTCATGTCTCTAGAAGCTTCTGAATTTCCAAACGGAAATTCCAGAAAACAAAACTGCGATTCATTCGCGTTACTTACCCTTTGGGTCGATTATGAAGAAGGGCATTGTTTTTAGATGTTCCCGCAGATTTCTAAATTTTGCTTTCACGTCACCATCGCTGGCCAGAATTGGTATCGGAAGTAGGGGAGGGTCATTCCGAAGACCATGTGTTTCCATCCGTGTGGTATCTACTGTTGGTGAAACATAGGCCGGCAGGAAAGGATCCGCAATTGCGGCCTTTCTCTGTTGTGCCTCTTCCCGCAGTGCCAGAGAAATAAATTGTTTATCTTCTACGTTAGGGACATTAGCGGTATCCGCCATAGTTAACGGCGATAGTACGCCAGTTACGCTAACAAACGTTCGTCACGCGCCGCAGTGCACCTACGTGATATCGATTTTTTTGTGTGCAGTTTAAAGTACGTGACGTTGTTTGCGCAGTCGGATAGGCGGATACGTCATAAGACATATTTTTGTGTTATGCCTGTTTTACTTCTTTTTTTTCACAACCTGCTCTCATTTCTGGACTCCTGTGACATTAATGCCAAGAAGTCGGTAAGTTAAAAAGGTAAAATATTTCAAGCTGACCCTACTTGTGCTTAAGATGACCATTGTCAAACGGCTTGTTTTCACGTAAGGCAAATCCCTCGGCGAATATCCCTACAGTCCAAATAAATTTCTGCTGTGCTGCATTCGAGGGGTAAATGTTTCCGTTATAACAGATTAAGGCCTGCCGACTATTTGAAACAACAGTGGAATTGTTGTTCCTTCAACGATCTCATATTTTAAATGATATATACGTGACCTACCTTTGCATAAAATATATAGGTTAGCTGGAAAATGTAAAAGCCAGAGAACTCTGGGACGCATGGCCGTTTGCATGTTTAAGCATATCGCCTTTCGAGTCATTATCTCAGTGTTTTATCAATAAGGCCTCGTGGCAGTGCAGGGACTGACAACAATTGTAGTTCGGAGACATGATCAACCGAATCATCAACTAAGTCAGCAGGCAACCCACGATGTAAGTAGAGGAACGGCCATTGACGTTTTAAGCTGATGGACAGCTGACTGTACTTATCGGCTATGACTGCTAGTCTCTTGATACTTAATAAAAGGGTGAGTCGCGGAAATGTTTGGCTGTCAGAAGTTACCGCTCCTGGTCGAAAAGGGGGTCTAGGGCTCGTACGGAACAAGTGTTTGACTGAAATATGGTTCGTTGTGGTTGACAGACTAGCAAATGGGCAGAGAGTAAGGCGGTAGGTGAAGACCAGATTAGCCTTTGCACAAAATAGCATCTCGTATCGAATTTGCACATCATTGCCTCCAGTAGGAAAGAACCAGAAGGAGATTGGCCTTTTGCAGCCTGTCCTCATTGTAATCGAACGGCTGCGCAAATAATCACTCACATAGTGTACGGGAAGTTTGCCAAGTCCATGGACAATTTGGTTCTCGGGGCACAGCACCAGCTTAGGAGAGGCCCTCCAAATCCACTTTACACAAGATTCGCTTGAGTGTGTACTACTACCTTCGATTAAACACTACAAATAGAACAATGTGTACAAAAGCAATGCAATGCAGAACTAGAGGAAGTTGCGAATAAACTACTGTAAACTACAATGATAGACAAAATGACCGAGAAGTGGAAAAGCAACAACGAAGAAAAAGATGGTACAGGTTCACGAATGTCCCTCTCAAACAGCAGTCGTAGACACACGTACACTCCTCAAGAGGTCCAGCAACAACACAATTGCGGGACAAGTTTGGCGAAAGGAGGAACTGAAAGAGGTTGTCACGATCCGCGCCGCTAATCAGGGAAACTTTGATATGAGGACACTGTACTCAAAAAAGTCGCTTCGTTCTAGTCGAAGCTGGTAGGTATGTTTTTTCATTATTTGACCTAAACAAAGGTACATGCTAAAAATGAAACTGTACAAAGATCTACAAGTGAAGTCTCAGGTTCAACTCTGTTAAGGCAGCAAAGCATGCGTGATATGCTAGAGACTGTTAGTGTCCCGCCCAGACCCACATGTTTCCGCAGCCATACTCGTGCAACACATACTGAGTCCTTCTTCTTCGTGAGTCATTGCAGGTAGACGCTGCTGTTGGCACGCTGGCTGGTCATTCAGCCAAATGCTTCCACGTGTATGCCATGTGCATATCAGTAAACGAAGACAGCTCGTCGAAACCTGAATTAGAACATTCAGTAAGAGTGCGTCCATGGCATCGTGGTTCGACAATAAAAAGAAAAAAATATTTCGGTCGCTACCTCAAAGTTTGGGCGAGCTTTTGCACGTTACTTTCTTGATACCGATAATAATTTCTATTGTATCTACCATACACTACTTTTTAGTGTAGCAAACTACAGTCAGTAGGACCGTGAGTGGATGTTTGGCCCGATGGCTGATAGCTCGGCTAAGCCACAAAATGGTCCCTACTCCTAAAATTGTGTGAGATGCCTCAAACCTTATGAAAATTGTGTTTTAATGACTGTATTAAGAAAAGGCCCTGGCAGCCAGACTCGCAATTCGGAGTAGGACTTAGTTACCATGTCATGAGGCAGCGATAGATCCAAACGCGTAAACTTCATTCCAGTGAAGATGCGTTTATTTCATAGGAGTCATCCCAATGTAAATTTCGTTGTCTTCAACCCCTCTCAGATGCAAGTCAATTACCCACACCTGTCAGCGAACCTGTTGGACGTGGTAGGTGAGATGCCGTGAATGCCTCCTTTTAAGATACAATAGATGGCCTAACTCATTAAATGTGAGGGTAAAAATTGGAAGGGGTGGTTTAATTTAATTATTGCATAGACTTGATGCTGTTTGCTCGAAAGGAGTTCAGTTCAAATCAGTATACTGGTTACAAATTTGGGGCGTGAATGGGTGAAATCCAGCGTTTGTTGGTATCCAAGGAATTTCCTACGCTAATAAACGCTGCGGATCAAAAGTTCCTGTTTGTGCGCGTTGTACTATGAAAGAGCATTAATAAAGACCAGAAACGACTTAATTATATCTGTTCAGAGAACAGCGAATGTTGTTTTGCCCTCCATATATTGAGCTATGTGCAGGTATGAGAAAACGCATTTATATCGAGAAGAGGAGAGCGGGTCAGTTAACAAAATTCTGTTTTGCAAACTTGCTAAGTTTTGTGCCAATAAGGTAAGTAATACACCTTTGAAACCACAATTTGTTTTAGTTCGCCGAAAATAGGGGCCGTATAGGAGCATGTATATGAAATGTCGCGAAATATTGGCAAACAATTTCCATCTATAGAGCAGAATCAGCGAATGGAAAAAAATTAACGGAACGGGCAGACGATTATTAGTTTTATGAAACTCGCGTCTATATTTTGCCGCTCTGTTCTGCTTTTTTATCATAGAACGCAGCCTACATATATTGAAAACTGCTCCGATATACATAGAAAAGTGAGTTCTTTCATTTTTAACAGACGTATCACTAATTTTAAGGAAGTCAAAAAACTGGTCCAAGTTTTCGCTTTTCATCTTGACATTATCTTCGGAAAAGGTAAAGTACACAGATATTCTACACCGAAATATACAATAAGAGCGCTTCTTCAAAAGGTAACACGTTATAGGAAAAATCCTTGGATGTCATGAAGTAGAACACTTACTGTACTTATCCGAAAATTTCACTAACGCACTGTTTTTTAAACATAATTCTGCTTATGTCGCTTTATGCACTCGGTTTTTGCATGAACAAACTAAATCTAAATTTAAAACGTAAGTTTCCTTAGTAGCCCAGATTTTTCACTGTTTTCGAATTTTCTTTTTTTCGAAAAAAAGCTAATTTTACTTTACTACATAATATTGCGTAATAAACAGCAAAATGTCTTCTTTTTATTAGAATCTTTAATTTTCTATTGTTAGACTTTGAGGATCGCAACTTGGACTAATTTTTCGTACCGGGGATCTTCTCGTAAAAATCCTTGGATTTCATGAGTTAGCGTAGCTACTGTATATCGCGTATATATATGACAACAATGACTGTCTCGCTCATACCAAGCACAACTCGCGAACCGTATTATCAGTATGATTTTTGTTTTGATCCAGCACACCTACAGCTTAGACCACTTTGAAGACAAATGCTCACGTAAAGAGGATCAACATACGCACACTCGTGTAGCCCTGCCTTGATCTCACTTCTGCGTTCAGTTTGCTGATTGCAAATTACTCGGTCCTTTTGATGTCTTCTGACGCCTGATTCAGGAACGCGACAGCATTGCGCCGCAAAGTGGCAATCGCAGGAACAATATATAATATAGCAACCGCGTAATTATTTACTATAATGTAGAATCGGTGCTAGCTATTATCTGTGCTGTTAGTATGGTAAATTATTAAAGGGTTTTCACAAATTTGAACAATTACTGTGTCCTACTTGTGAAAAACGTGACGGCCTAAGTGGGATTCGTAC